TTTATTATGGAAATGACATGGGTAAAATTCCATTTGTTTTTTAGAATTTTATAACTTACCGACAACTGAATCCAAATTCTGAGAATAACCATTGTATATGCTTATTTTGATCCCTGAATACAACAAAACTTTGATATATTTTATAAAATAAGTATTTACTTAAAAAGAAAAACCAAGGAAATTTAATTGGAGTGCAGACTATCGTAAAGTTAATATTAAGAGCTAAACTATCAGAGAATTTTTTTTGTCAATTTGGAAGCATTTAAGACCCTGCAAGGAAGGAAATTCGGAAATATTCATATTGAGAACCACTCCAAAATTTAACTATACTTGAATATTTATAAGAGCAACTTCTACTCTAATTGATAGAGATTTAAAATACTCATCAAAAATTGTCTATATATACTGCACTCATCAAAAATTGTTATGAATTTTACCAAGATTTTAATTATTCAATTCAATGAAAATATTTTCCATTATTAACCGGAAGGATTGCACTTTCAAATAAAAAAAGAAATTTGAGAAAATATTCAGTAGTTTTTTTATAGCATTTTCAAAAAAAAAGTTATTAGGCGGACCCTATACAATTATTTTTGGAGTCATTTTGTTTACTAATTTTAGTTTGGACTACATATTCTGTTTTAACTTAGAGTATGTTCAAACAAAAATATTTCTTTGAATTCTATACACGATCCATCCAGTAAAAGGTAAAAAGGATACTTGTACGTACTTACAAAGTTAGCACTAATAGAGATTTACTCCTTATAAATGTTGCTGCTAATTCAATTATAAAACTTCAAAATAAAAATATTCTTAAATAATTTATTCAAAATATCATTTCCACGCTTTTCATCGATTTCTTCCTCCATTCTCTGTAAATTTAATGCACTCTCAGATATTATTCGAGTCCAGACCCCATGAATTCAGAATATCGTTCAACAATCAGTCCGTGCTGAAGTGGATTTGCAGGAGCATTATATTATATTCAATATACGAGTATACCCTTCTTTACAGCTCCTGTAAGTCTGATTCCATTCAAAAACGTACGAAAAGCACTCTAACTCCGAAACCAGGAATCTGTAAACGATCATGCCCAGGACGAAATATTGTTGACAGACATTTGTGATATCAACAGTTGGTAAAGATAGAGTTAGACTTTTTAATACATATGTAAGAAGAAAAATATTCTGGAATAAGACAAAAAGTAACATCAGTAACCACCAATGATTGCATTTTTCTTGGTCCACTTACTTCAGGAGTAAAAGTTCTAATTGACTATGGATTATCATTACTCAGGTTTCTAACTATTACAGAAAATATTATTCAATATTTCTATATATTATAATAACAAGCTTCAAAGCATATTTCTCCCATAACTACATACTTTATCACGGTGGGCCAAGGCTCATGTGTTTCATTGATGATGACAATATATAATGCATCACCCCCCTGAGATCAATTTCTCGGTGGTAAATCTATGTAATATAATAAAGCATAACGCGAATATAACAGAGGCGTTCCATTCAAATCCTCGTGAAGAAGAAAATGGAGGGTGCTGCACACGGTCTAATAAACGCCCGAACATCCCTCCAAGGGTTGTAGGTAATAGACGGGGGACCGGGGATAAATTATTCACTAAAATTGAAAGATATTTTTACACAACATATATTTGATCTATTTTAAAGGCTATTTTTTTAGATGCAAATGAATAACCCCAATAATTACCCATTTGATATATTAAAAAAGATTTTTTGAATATAATTCATATATTTTTAATTTGATGCTGTAATGCAGAAGAAGGGCTAATTTTACTAGGAAACATATATGTATTTTGGATCTTTAATTAAGATAGAGCGGAGCAAAAAGGTCCATTTGCCTCTCGTTCAATATTACTCTCTGAACTAAATGAGATGGATGATATTATATAATATGTATCAAACAAACAACTATCGAACTATCTTGAGTAAAATTCTCAGTTAACTCCCAATTATAGAAATATGTTTTTTTACTATTGTTTTAGAATTTGATGTTCGTTTTTTTTTGCTCCAAAGATGGGTTAAGAGAGTCAGCCAAGGGGCAAACAAATCAATTCTTTTTTTATAATTTTGAAAGAATTTCACATGAGAAAAAATATATTATTGCGGATTGTTTTATGAAAACATTTTTTACAAAGTTTTCATGGTATATAACCTTGATCTAGTATTTCTAAAACAAGCATATTTGTCGAGAGATCGAATGTCTATTAATTGATCTTATAAAATTGCTTTTTTAACTTAGTTTGCAAATGAAGTATTAAGCAGATTCCTTTTACCTCACATGTAAGCTTTTTATAGAGATTATATAAAAAGAATTGTCAAACCTAATTCAAAAATGACAACACATCTTACCTAAAAATTGTATTCAGAGATTATAAACTAAATATAACAGCTAAAAACCAAAGAAACTGTCAACAAAAAATTACTTCTGGTATTAATGATAAAATTCTGTTTATCTTCTAATAAACTGAGCTGTATCATAACAATATGAACAATATATTATAGAAAAATGAATTCTGAGAAAAAAAATCTGAATAACCTATTCATGGGAGTGTAAGAGGTAAAACTTTTTGTATAAAGTTTCAAATACATTATTTACTCTGAATATATTAAAAATATATAAGGATTGAAATCTAGAGATCTGATAACTAACATATATTATTTACAGTTTCTATAAAATTTTAAAATTGTCTTAGTGTTTTTGTCAAAATTGTTTAAGAGTTTTTGTCAAAAAATTGCCTAAGTTTAGTATTTTTCTTAATTAATATTTTTAATTTTTTTATTCATTCCTGAGAAATCCGTAATCAATAATTATAAATAATATTTCAGGTTTTTCTAAAACACAAGAGTCTAAAAGTAACGCGACTTTATAGTTTTTATAGAGTTTTATGTTATTTTCCAAGTTTGAATAAAACGACTAAAAACTCCCTGTCTATTATCCGCCCTTCAGAAGTTGATGTATGGTATCACTAAAGTATATTAGGACATCGTACAAAGGGAAATCGAAAAAAATATATCGTCCCCCGAGTCGAAGAATAATTCTGAAAAGCTAAAAGTTTTCATCGTGGGTGTAATTTGGCTATTTGGGCATTCATCGCCTTAACAAACCTACTATACCGGGAGAGGAGAAAAGTTTTTATATAAACCGAACAAAGAATCGGAATAATTATTTTGTTCGTTCATTGTAGAAAGAATAGATGTCTGTCTTTTAATAGGCGATTTGGTTTGAATGAACTCGTATATAGGGTAGAAAAGGGCTTGAAGTTTGCAGGTAAAAAGGTCCAATACCATTATCTCAAAAACGAGTAAACTGTAGAGTTTTTTAACAATATTATTTTAAAGTAAAAAGCAAAAAATATGTACCAAAGCAGCACCTTAATTTTGCTCAAAGCTCAAAATCTAACCAGTTGCCTTTTTCCTAGCTATAAAGACTATTATCTCAATTAATAATCATTTGATTAATATTTTCTACAAATTCACTCTCTGCTAATTTTCTCCACATGTATGCATTGTGTACAAACAATACCTCGACCTACACCTCCTCATTCTAGTCTAGACTTTGTATCCTGATAATTCGCGAAGGATCTTTTTAACGTGGGCAGATCCTGAGCGTGGGCGTCAAAGGGCACTCAAGCAAATAGCTTCGAATCCTTCACTTCAATTGTGACGCTAAAATATCATAGCTGACGTGATTAAGACTAGATTTATAAATAGAAGCTATAGTGGATATAAATAACTCAATCGAAATCTGAGTAACGTTTTCATTCGAAAGATGTAATTGTAATTAGAATTGTAGATTGACGATGTGGACGTATTTTGAGTCACGTGGGAGTACATTGAAATTCTATTGATTAGTAAGGTATTTATAGCAAAATTGTAATTTTTCAATGCTTTTCTCGTAAATGGAAATTTTATATTTAAATCTCATCCACGGTTTCCATATAATCTAGAATAAGAAAAATAGGCTGCAAAATGAGAAAAACTATTGTTTTTTAACGTTATTATGATTTAAGTTATTTATTTTTTATAAAAAAAGAATAAAAATTAGAATTTTAGAAATATTGGTAAATTTGAATATAAAACTAATGTTTTTCTCCTAGAGACATCTATTTTTCAACTGGGCCCTATTTCTTCTCTTTCCTATTTGATATTTTGTGACTCATCTAGTTGACCTTGATAGAAAATTCAGATTCCGACGATCGTTGGTGAGGCAGCATAATGAACGACTTGTAACGGATAATACATAATGCTAATTTAGGTCTCCATATTTTAGATTTTAAATTATAACACATTGATGATGAGACAAACCTAGCCTCGAATCGTTTGTAAAATTATTATTTAATAAATTCGTGCAAAAAAGAGTGTTGTTCATTTATATTTCTAAATTAATATCTATGTATCCACTCAGAATACATTTGTTATAATACTAATGTGTTAACAACAGGGGCGTAGCAAACGGCGTTGGGGTCTATGAGGCTCTCAACAAGAATAAGCAGAAATCGATAAATACATATCTCAAAATTAATTGACTTTACTAATTTTATGTTCTTGTGAACTATAATAACAATGTGTGTCAAGTTTCATTAAATTCACAAAAAAAAACGTTTTTGAGAACATACTATTTCTTTAAATAGTATTGCACACGGAGCCATCAACTTTGCATATCTCGAGACACAATTGAATTTACCAACTTTATTTTTTTGTCAAACTTTCATTAAATTTACCTAAGTTTACAATACAGCATCACCAAAATATATCCAAATGACTTTCTTTGCTCTCGATCAAATCAGTTATGTGCACAGTAAGACAACAGAGCAAGCTTTTCATATCACAAATGTGGAACATATTTTTCTATTAACTGATACCCCCAATAATGAGTATATTTACTACCCTATCTTAGAATTATTCAAAACATTCATCTCGGCAGTATATTAAGCTAACTCTCTGCGAAATATTTCACAGAATATGGTTTCACGCAAGAATTCGAGCGCCTCGGAACCCCTTCGTCCATTTCATTCCCATAACAAGGAGTCACTCATGCGAACAGACGCAGAACGTAGTCCGTCGCGGTTTAAAGTTATTCCAATTCAATGTATTTATATTTTTATTTAAATTCTTTGTTACTCATGACAGATCACAACTAGCCAAGCTTGTAATCGAATTTGATACGTGTGTCAGGAAGATGTACTGGGATATATGATATGGATTTGTTAATTAATTAACACGCGATCATAAGATATAGAGTTGAGATGCATGATCGACTAAGGTGATTAGTTATGATTTCAACTTTGGGGGCTAGTTGTAATATCTACCGGATCTAGTAGCAATGACTGAAAAATGACATTTTTGCTAATTTTTAAGTAGCTCTGACAATATTGAATAAGCGATTTACATGTCCAATCGTCTGTAACTACTTACTCCTGTTACAATAAACCCCTAGCGCCCCTACTCATATTTAGAATAACTCAAGATAAAACTGCACCATTAACAAATCAGTACTCAATGTGTATAAAAATAAATGTTTCCAAAACTAAATTATCATAAGTCTTGAAAAAAGGGTAAAACATGCTAATGTATTATATTTATTTCCAGATGTCATGTCAGCCCGTCCAGGTGGAAACGCGCCATACTACGGCCGAAAAATAGGAAGATTAGTTGAATTCGCCCACGGAATTAAAGGAACGGCCTACGCCGTCGATGACACGACACTGTTCGTTAGAGGATTCGCCTACGACGGCACCGGCCCGGACGCCTACTTCTGGGTGGGCAACTCGCCCAGGCCGTCGCCAGAAGGTTACATTATTCCCTACCCGGAAGAATATGTGGGACGGTGAGCTTTGAGCTTTGAGCTTTGCAATTTAATTGTATTATACTAACAGTTTGTGGTAGTTTTTGCACTAGTACAATGAGCAAACTTTATGAGATTAGTTTGTTTTGTAGCGTTATTATCACTATACAAGATAGCTAAATAAATCATTTTGTTTGCTGTATAATTAAACCTATGAATTAGTATACGTTAGCACACGCGCGAAGATATTTATCAAGAGTTATATGTATTAAATGGATACATTTTATTTGTGGCAGAAAAATTAGTGAGATTGTTATATTTTATTTAAATATAATATAATTTAAATTTAATACTTTTATATGAGTAAAATATAATATTTTCTATAGAAAATTCTATTTCAAAATATAATAAAGTTTGAATTTACATTTTTAATTTTTTGTATTTATAAGATCTTCAATTTTTGTTAGAGCTTTTATGTTAAGGCTTGCCCAAATCTCATAATCAGAAAAATCTGGCAGAATTTTTATAATATATTGATTAAATCAATATTCATTACTACAAATTTAATATTTTCATATTATGGATATGAGTAATTTATTTTTAATATTTATTTAATAAAGAATGCGATCAATATTAAGCTTATAAAATTTTCGAAGAAGAAGGTTCTGTTATCGTTATAAAATACGATTTTCCAATGATATGCTTTTTTGACGTTTAAAGTCATTCTAAACCGTTTGACACAAAAATTGGAAATTGTATTTATGTGAATGTATGAGACCCAAAATTTGACTTATCGTCGACGATTTATCAAAAACTGCTGTACCGATTTAAAAAAAATTAAAAATCTCCGATGTATTTTGATTAAGTTTTGCGTTTATTTAATTTCACGAAAGCATTGGTCGAGTCGTTTCTTAAAAATTATCAGAAAAATGCAAAGAATTTCATTCAAATATGAGCAAAAATTCTTGAACAGATTTTAAAAAATTAAAAATTGTTTGAAATAACCTGTTGCGCCGAAACCAACATCCTAGAATTATATGTATGTTTGGATTACAAATTCAAAATTTTTTTAACCTAATTTTAAAATTATTTACACATATCAGAAAATTTTTGGGCAACAATCTTTAATGCAAATTCCAATTAGTATCAATTTTGATGAAACTGTTGAAAAACTCTATAGAAGTCATCGCAACCATTGGTTTTGTATTAATTTGGTGAAATCATTGAAATAATTGTAATATTTCATATAGTACTTTTTTTGTCAAATATAAAATTTCATTTACTACTACGCTTGTAGAAATCGATGTTATAATAAAATTATTTTACCAAAATTTTGGTGCCAAAAGTATGGTTTCCTTAATATATTTCCAAATCTAAATGGTACATTTGTAATTCGCTTGCCATATCAAATTTAACACGTTTTGACGAGTAAGTGGAATTTTTGTACCTATCCATTAGCAAAATGTAATTTCGTCTCCCTCATCTTTTGACGTCTTTTGTAATTATCAAACGACATCGACATGGTGGGTGCCTTGTGACATGACAATCCATCACATCAAGAAATAATTTGGGTTGGCGGCGCCTCTAATATGTTTGGAATGGTAGATAGATTCGTATGTACCGAAAATACTAAATTAAACAAAAATTTTATAAATAAATCAAATATTTGAAAGTTAATTCTTTGGCAATATTTTTGTAATTGAAATTACATATTTCATTTAAAAAAACGATTTTAAATTAAAATAGTGCTTACTGCACATGCACTCTATATGCAATTAAACAGTTCATTGATTATATCAAATTGGAAATCAAATTGTATCTCGATTGACTATTGAAATAAATAAATTTGAAATTTAATTAATTTTCATAAAATGCACTAGAACGGTTTGTATCCGATATTTTCGGATTTGTTAATTAAAATTTGGATTTGTTAATTAAAATATATATTAAAATGCAATAGAAGGTTGTTTTAGAGAGAACGTATTACTGACTGATTACTTCAGAATATTTGGATGAATTTTTTACATATATATATTGGTAATGATATGCTATTTTAAAATCTACTATAGTCCAAAAATGTCCTTAGGATATATGCATTTTTTATGCATGAAATATAAATATTTCTTGTAGCATTTTCACTTGATGCAAATTACAAACTAATAAAACGTCATTATATTTGCTAAATAGAAATAAATTAAAATTAATCAATTAAACAAGGCAACATAGTTTTTTATAAAATAATATATCAGTAAAAAACTAGTAACTGATTATTGGCTGATCAACGATGAGTGTTTTAATAGAGATTAATTAAAAGTATGTAATTATAAAAACCTGGTTTGGTATGTGAACAAAAAACTATTGCTAATTATAATATTTATTGTAAAGGTAATTATACGAGTACTTGTTATGTATATGTATGATTACAGAAATATAGGGAAAGTCTGCAACTATCGATAGCAAAATATGAGTATCATTTTGGACTTAAATTAGATACCAAAGAGATCGACCTGGAAAAGTTTTGCAAGTTGTACAATAATTAATATCAATTTAGCTCTCTCGTTTTTACAAATTTATCTATACCTGCCGGAACCAAAACTCAATATACAATGCTTAACTTTTTTAATTTATTTTATTAATTTCTAAATATCTCAAATCCTTATTAATTTCTAAATTCGCAAATTTTTATTAATTTCTAGGCTTATTGGATTTGAACTGTTAGATGTTAAATTCACGTCTACAATCTAATCTTGTTTGATTTAAGATTTCACCATCTCACCATTATTCTGCAATCGACGTGTACCGAATATTTTTGAGCATCGGACAAATATTTGCATACATCAACTTTGGAGTGATTTTATATTTATTATTCGCTTTTAAGAATCGTAATACGGACCCTGTATTATGGCAGTGTACGTGTTTACTGGTATTTTGCGAGGCATTACAATTAAGTCATCAGCAATTTGCAATTTGCTGATGCTGATGTGTCATCCATCCCTTCGAATTATTTTGGTGACGAGGACGGGGGCATTTATTTCGTCGTTAATGGCGAGAATGTTTGCGAGGGTGGAATTGATATGAAATATTTTATGGTGTGTTATATTATAATTATTGCAAATAATGGTTTAATACTAGCAATTATAGTAAACCATCAACGGAGAATGAATAATGGTGATAATAATGCTAAGGACGAAATAAGTCAAATCAAGAATTGATTGAGGAAAGACATAAACACCTAGTAACAAATTATTATCAGTTTTCACAATAAGATTTATATTTTGCTTTTATGCAATTTATTTTTGTTGCAAGCTTTCTGAATAACTTTTATGATACTCAATCTAATATACATTCCTGAAAAAAATTAGAATAATAAAAATTCTCGTCGTTGGGAAATTATGAGCTTTTGAGTGCAGTCTAGAGCTTTGGTGACCGTTTTGCAGTTATTGTGGTTAACTTGTATTAATTTTGTTCATTTAAACTTTAGAATCATTACCTTATATAACATTTCTAGAACCAGAGTAAAAAACACCACTGTTTCTCTAAGTTTACAAAAATTAGGACCTTTTTGTTGAACTATGAATTTAATTTTTTTAGAACCTTTGAGAGGCCCTCCTTTGAAAAAATGTACCAAAGTATATTGGCAAGTTTCATAAAAATTTGGTAAAATAATTGTCATATATTATTGAAAATTTTTGAGTAAAAATATGATAATATTTAATTAACTATGAGGCTCCATTAAGAGTGATTACTAACTCTAAAACTCTAACTTAAACTTCAATTTATCATATTCAATTAAAGAATGCATTTATCAATGGCGATTTTTTCCTATAATCATTCGCAATTAGATAATTTCATATCTGAGACTTCTAGCAAAATTATCTGTAATTAGACATTGTCTTATACTTTAATTAACCAAATGACAGTGTGTCTAAAGTTTGAATGATGTATGGCTCCGTAATGGAAACTTGCAAGTTTATTAAGAAGACTAATAGATCCATTATGACTTTGTGAACATTAGGAATATATATATATATATATATATATATATATATATATATATATATATATATATATATATTATATATATATATATATACATATATATGAAGAGCTAATTTTCATAATTGTGGATAGTTCATTAATTTAATAAAGTAATCGGTAATAATATTTTTCAGTTAGGCCATCTGGTATTTCACAATATATGTAATTTTCATTAATTTAATATTTATTTTCACAACTAGTATTTATTTATTTATATATAAACATAAGACACTAAAATGATTACTTTATAAGTATACTATTTAAACAATCAGATGGTATTCAATATAGTAAAAATAAGGTAGAAGAAAGGATGAATATAAAAAAAAATCATACAACTTGTAGAACATGAAGGAGGAAAGGTGAAAAATTAGGGTTACATGGCAATTTAGTCAACCGAATCAATTTGAGAAAATAGTAGCATTATGATAAAATGTAATATCTTAATAGCAAATTAATTTAAAATTTCGAAAACCTAAAAGCACCATAACTATACAATCACACTGCAAAATTATCAGAAAATGATTAAGAAGGCAGAAATTTCAAGTTTGATTAACTACCATCATCACTTATAGATAGATAGATCACTTAGTAATAAAATAAGTAATTTTGAAAACATGAATGTTCCCCAGCACCATGACGAAACTGCAAAATAATCAGAAAATAGTTAAGTGAACAAAAATTTTAAGTCCAACAGTTACCTGTTTAGCTTCCAGACCATAATTTAATGGATAATTTTGTTTATATTCCAAAATATTTTTTTGAAAAATTTTGATTGACTACCATCATCACTTGTAGATAGATAGAGCACTTATAGATCTATGAGAAAGCAATCAAGAACAGTGAGATATAATTCCAGCACCAGAAATCTTGGTAATAGCAGAAACGACTGGTAACAGTTGAAAAATCAAATAACTCGACAAAAAAATCTCTAATATGTAGCAGTTTATTTATCTAAATTGGTGCAAAAGTAACCCAGAAAAAAAATTTCTATCAAAACTCAAAAC